CGGTAGACATGAAAAAGGACACAGGAAAATTTTATTGATTAGAAAAAAAAACGATGCCTTCCGGCTTAATCATAGCGTTTAAAATATTCTACTCTTTAAAATGCAAACTTTAGCAAATGTGCTAATAAAGCTTTATACTCCACATTCTTTTGATTAGCCGGCATAATATATTCATTCATGTTCGTTTTTTAATTCAAACAAATGTTCATTTGTTACATAATTTCAAGTTCCTTTTCAAAGTCCTTCTTATAATCTTATTTTCCCTTGGATACCGTATATGCCAATGAACTCCCACTAGATCAGAATACCTGTTTTAAGAGGTAGCTCAACAAAACAGCACCGATTATGCAAAGGAAAATTAACAAACAATTGACAACAAATTTCACCTCGTCTTGTATTTTCTTTCCGTACTCTGTCTCAGCCACAAATGTCTCCATAATTTCGCCTTTGACGTTCAAGTGTGGAAATGGCTGGTCTGGGACGTCTTTGCCAGTGAACTCACACAATGGTTTCCATCCTTGTTCGACACTGAAGACTAGCAGCTTGTCTGCAGGAACTACGAACTTGACTCGATCGTTGTGCCAGCGATAGCGTTTCCGCGCGATATACGTGGCTGTGGAATCCGTGATGCCAAAGACTGCTGCTATATTTTTCCAATACAGACGATGGAGTTTTTCGAACGATGGAAACACAATCTTATATTTAGTCAAGAAGGAGCTCTGGATAACATCGAGCTGGTTTTTGAAACTCCCTTCCCAAGCGTCTTCATCGGTACGAACAGTAAGTATCACTTTAGCCTCGGGAAATGCCTCCATCAGTTCTTCAAAGAAGAAATAACTTGGGAAGTCCACGACAACGTCCACATCCTTGAACATACGGTAGAAATCGGGAACTTGGTTCTTGAAATACAAGCCGTTAAACTCGTCTCCGAAGTGTAGGTTCTGGTCATCAAAGTCGTAAACCTTGTAACCAAGAACTCTAAGTGCGCGAGTGAGGGACTTGGTGCCTGTTTTCATCAGACCAGCACAGATTATCTTCATCTTTCTTAGTTCAGTAGAAACGTTTTTAACACGAGTAATACCAAACAGATAATGATTGAGACAACTACTGATTACAGATGATATTTTTTCCTACTTATGCATAGGGGCATTAACGGCATAGTAACCATTTAACACCCAAAAATGTATTTTTCTTTTTTTTTCGGAATGACACGTGGTCTGAAATTGAAAATATCTTACTAAGAGAGGATCACTGGGTTATCAGTATGAAAAGGTGGTTTTCATAATAAAATAGTACTGATGGTAAAATAATCATATAACAAAAAAACAACAACAACAAAACAACAAAACAAAAAAACAACAAAACAAAAACAAACAAAAAAAAAAGAAAAACAACATAAAACAAAACAAAACAAAATAATAATAATAATAATGATAATAATAATAATAGGAAAACTTGATTGCTTGATCCAAGGGATTTTTTGAAGGGGGGGGGTCTTAGGGGTAAATTTTGTGCGCAAAGGAATCTCAGTCGCATTTTTACTACAGGAAGCCCATTTGACCTCAGGAATGACAGGGGGGTCGCGACCCCCCCGACCCTCCCCCTGGATCCGCCCTTGCTTGATCTACGAAATGCTATACATCAAAGACCTTAAACCAGAACTTAACAAACAGACTTTATTAGAGCAAATATACTATATATACCATAATGCACCCGATATAGTTATATACCATATACTTGGTTATTGGATCAGAATTTCTGCATATGGCTGTATATGTATATCCAACCAAGTATATGGTATATAACTATATTGGGTGCATTATGGGTAATAGATATCGATATCGGGTTCAGTATAGGTAATAGACCCGCGGGATTCAAAGCCAAGTACCAAAGCGTTGGCGAGTCTCCCTCCTCCCTGCCTAAAAGAAGGGATAGAAAGAGGAGAAACTCTGCTAACAGGGAAACTTATTATACGACTTTATTTCACTCTTATGTACACTATTAAACTATTTCACGATGTGAGGAAAAGCAACCTAAGCATGTATATCCGGAGGGGCTTACATTTGCAATCATGGCTCCAAGAACCTTTATCTGTTGTATTTTACTTTTATAATTATAAGCATTTAAAACTGTACACTTTTTCAGGACACATACTGAAGGACTCAAACGTTCAGCATAATCATACCAAGCTCCAAAAAACGTTCGCAAAAAGCATAAAATTTCAAAATAATTTAACGATAAAATATATCAAACAAACTTTTTTTAGGTTTCGAGTTCATATTTAAAAGCTGCTTTTTTTCTTCTTTATAGCGCTAACTATTTGTCTTTTCTAATTATCTATTATAAATTTTACATTTTTACCCGAGAGAAAAAAGACATTTCCCTGTAAATTCAACACCTTTCTGAAAGGTTATTAATTGTTGCTGTTTTATCTGGCCATTAACACAATAACACGTTTAGTGACAGATCTGATCATTGTTTCCTAGTTTTGAAATTATTCCCTTAATTTCCATATCAAAATGTATCCAGTGGAAACAGTAAATGCCATAGTGCTTGAAATAGTACCCGGCACAACAATCCAAGCTATATGGGCTTTTTCTATTTTATCTTATTTTTTCTCTATTTTAATTTCTAAGAATATTTTATCTAACTAAATATCAGTTGACTTCAGGGTTTCTAAAATCTAGGTGTTCGTGACTTCTAAGCTCATCTAGTAATTCCCCTTCAAGTGGCTCGTCCAGTCCTGTACTAAACAGTTGATGAAATCGTGGATCATCACGGTCATCTTGTATCTAGTATGAAAAACATTGTTGAATTCAGTATTGGCATAGTACAATGTTTTTACCTCTTATCCATTTATTAGCCATTCGGCCGAGTTTGATGAAAAAACTGGGTCGAGTTGGCATAGCAGTGCATTTGGAAGGGGAGGGGGGTTAGAGACATATTTCCAAGATGGCGTCTATTTTGTACACTAAAACAGCGCCAAAATCCCTGCAATGCAAATTCGATCCAGTTTTTCCTCAACCTAGTGAATGTATTCGCATATTTCTAAGCACGGGCTTTTGTAGGTTGAACCGACGCATTTTGATTTTAAAGTAAGGCTGATTTTACTAAGTAGTTCGCGTGAAAGTTCATTTGGCAGCAAAAAGCACGAGCATAGAAGTATGCGAATACTGTAATAACATTAAATATGGACTACCCCTTTTTCGCGTCGCACTTTAGATGTATGACCCCTCTAACCCTTCATCCTATGTTGGCAAAAAGAAAATACCCACAGACGCGCACAACGCCATTAACCTTTATTATCTGGGCATGTCTCAGCTTTTCGGGAAAAGAGGAGTACTCGGTGAAAGGTGTACAATATTAATTCCCATACTCGAGTTAAAGATCAAGATAGATTTGATCCCGGTGAACCGTCTATTGCACCCTTAATACTTCCATATTCCTTTCTGAAATTGTTTTAGCCGAGACTTCAAAAGATTTTGTAATCATAGTAAGTTCAGTTTTCATTAGGTATAAATCCCTAACTAGTAATCTTTTATACGTACGCCAAAACGACAAATAAATATTCAGTGGAAACTAGTTTCGTTTAATTCAACCTCTTCAGTCCACTGTATTATAATCCATATTCCGAAAACGAGCAACTAATCAAGAAGCAAGATGTACCTAGCTAAAGCAAGACCTACCTGTGTGTTCACTGATTGCCTGCGTTTCTGTTGCCTTTTTTCCCATTGGTTAACGAATGCTTCCAGGATAAGCGCGACAAACAAGTTGATGCTGAGGATAACTGACACCAGATACCAGGCCAGGAAGTACAGTTGAGCCCAACTAGAAAAAAAATATCAAATCCATCAGATCATGCGATCATCTAAGTAAACTCTTCAAATACTGCCATCACATGGCTCAGATCAGACTAGAGGTTTCGTCAGAGTCGATACAATTTAAAGTTGTTTTTCATAAACTCTGCATCAAGTACTAGGAAACTACAGCAGTAGGATCCTCTCTCCACATGAGAAGAAGCTTTCTCCAGGTGTAATTGTATCCACTAAAACATATAACACTAAACAGGGACTCAGCACTGGCTCAGGTCAAACGTCGAGCTTCACGTGAGCCTTAATGAAAACAATGGTTAATAAGGCGCTCTTCTATATGGTCATTAGGTTTGGCTCATATGAAGTTCGACGTTTGCATTCGGCCTTAGGTTGTTAATAAATTAAATCTTCCTTAATTTTGAAGCATCGAGAGTAATAAAAAGAAAGGTCTACGACATGGCTCATCAAAATTCAAGATTGGCCATAAAAAATGGACAATAGAGGCTTTGCACCATCACGTGATGGAAGCCATGACAGGAAGCACAACAACAGAGTCGTTCTCTCCTGGGAAACTGAATCTTTTTTCATGTAAATCGCATTAGACCAGATTCAATAGACCCGTTTCGAATTCCAAATTACCGCTGTGTTTCTTGATTACAGACTCATTTGCACAGGGTTAGCCTCGAGTTTGTGCAGAATATTCACGTGTCTCAGTCAAGGTCCGTCGAGTTTCAAAGTGCTCGTATTGTTGGAGTTGTGCATTCTTTACTTTTCTGTTGGTATTTGTAAATATCTAAACACTGATACGAGGCTAACCCTGTGCAAATGAGTCTGTAATCAAGGAACACAGCGGTAATTTGGAATTCGAAACTGGTCTATTGTTCCTGCCTCCTGTCATGGCTGCCATCACGTGATGGTACGAAGCCTCTATTGAAAAGGGATTGCCAGAAACTCATAAGGGGGATGAAAAGTGTAACAGCTATACACTTATTTCCGCGTACAATGTTCTGGAATAGAGGCTTTGCACCATCGCGTGATGGCAGCCAGGAGAGGAGGCATAACAATAGAGTCTTTCTCCCCTGGGAAACTGAATTCTTTCTCATGTAAATCACATTAGACCAGATTCCAAAGTTCCTGCCTCCTGTAATGGCTGCCATCACGTGACGGTGCAAAGCCTCTATTAAAATGTATTTAGATAAGTTGATTAGATAACTCACTGGGTTAATATGTCACACTCTTTAAAGAAAAGTTTATTGATTGATTAATGATATCTATAAGAGCATTTTTACGTTACCTGTTGACAAGTTTTGCGTAGGCCTTGAGAAAAACATGCCAGTTATTTACCACCATGATATCCCACAAAAGAACAAGAGAAGCCTAAAGAAATAATAGCAAAAAGATAGGTTTCGTTAGTGGTGTCTGGCATGTGATCAGATATTCCATTAACACTTACTTACATTAGGGATAAAAAGGGTCATGGCTTACCCTTCTTCGCAAGCAACATTCGCTTTTTTGCAACCCGAAAAATATAGGAAAAACCCAAAAAGTTTAAATCGAGAATTCGGTGCGTAGGATGTAAGACGCGCTGCTACAATATATCATAAAGTCAAATCTCGCCCTGCGGACACTCCGATATCACAGACACCTAACCATTACGATCAGGAGCAAAATCGCCGGCGAAAAATGCTTTCAAAGTAATGACCGCAATCAATTCTCGCTTTTGAGGACGATCGCTATTACGGACACCAAGTGGCGGTCCAGGGGGTGTCTGAGAGTTGGCTGTAACAACATTTTCGAGACAGAAAACTGTCACAATAAAAAAGAGAGAGTGAGGGACATAATTGCAATCCAGAATTGTAAAATGAATAAATTGTTGTTGCACTAATCCTTACTGCAAAGTCGTTAAAATTATTCGCATAGTACTGTAGAATGTCGAAGTCCAATTCCGTACAAGGCGTAGCTGTAGAGCTGTGGGAAAACAACAGTCAGATTGAATCATAACGCCAATGGAACTGAATTAGATTGCATGAACGTATAGGAATAAGAATGGACATGAATTAGATTGGATGAACGTATAGGAATAAGAATGGACCTGAATTAGATTGGATGAACGTA